AACACTGGGAGAAATGATTTATAACCAAAACTAAAATGGAAAAATAGGAATTGACCTCAAATTTGTGAACACTTGGAGAAAAGATTTAATAACCAAAACTAAATTGGAAAAATGAAAAAATCAAAATTAACCTTAAGTTATACACAAAAGCCATATTTTTTAGAACACTGGGAGAAATTTGAATCACGATTCCTGTTTTTTAAGAACACAGCAGGCAGCACCTAGTACCTCAATATATTATAATTATAATAACCTTTCTTCGTAACTTTATCTTGAATATATTCTCTTTCATCCTTGTGTGTAATCTTTTTCTCGTATCTGGCTGGCAATCCCATAATGCCATTCTCAGGTTACCATGACAAATGTGTTCTGTGACGTGAAGAACATCACTCGACAGATTGGTTTCATGTTAAACGTGTAAAATACTTTACGCGCCAAAATTGTTCCACCCTCACTCGCTCTACTTAGACCATTATCTGCACGATTGTGAAGTAAGACATTAAGGTGAAAATATACTTGTACTTCTGCCTGAGAATTTGACGTCTGCTGTTATCTGAATTGTGCAATTTGTAGTGAAGTGAGACACAAGGTATATGAGAATTGTTTTCTTAAGATCAAGAATTTCATGTCTATGGAAGGAGAGACGTCTGCTTAAAAACTTCACTTCTGCTTTATCTAGAGGAATTGTAAAAATGGTAAGAGAGGTAAGAGAGTGTATTTTGGCGTCCGTCAAAGTTCTTCACATCTGTTGTTTTCTGGAGGAATTGTGAAATTTGTAATGAAGGTAGATATGAGGAGAATAGTTGTACATCTGGCCACAAAATTTCACGTCTGCCTAAAGATTTAAAGTCTGTCGAAGGAGTATCACGTCTGCCAAAAAAACCTCATTCCGAATTTTTTAAATGGTGATTTGTAGTGAAGTAATATACCAGGTAGGAGAATAAGTTTAGCGTCTGGCCACGATTCACTTCTGCTGTTATCTACAGGAATCTAAAGGTGTGTTTGTGATACCATGTCTACAGAATTCCAATGAAACTGTATTTCTCATGTATTTAGGAAAGATCTTTGATAATTTTCAGGAATTTTTATACATATCTTGTGTTTTTGTGTCGGACATATTTTGTGAAACTGATCAGCTTTTTTTCCAAATTATTTTATGGATTTCTGGTGAAAAGGTATTTTTTGAAGGTTTCTTTTGAAATATTTTTGAGCATTTGTCTGTTTCTGAACATTCAGTTTTAAAGTACAGATAGCTGTGTTGGATAGTGATGAGAACTTAATCTCATAAAAGCACTGGCCTAGGTCACAAAGTAGCTGTCTTATTTAAAATATCTTGTGAAGTAATCTAGTAACACTCCATTTAAAACCTGAATTAGTCAGAAAATGATCAATCTTATAGTAACACTCCATTTAAAACTGAAATTTGTCAGTAAATATAAATGATCAATCTTATAGTAACACTCCATTTAAAACTGAAATTTGTCAGTAAATATAAATGATCAATCTTATAGTAACACTCCATTTAAAACTGAAATTTGTCAGTAAATATAAATGATCAATCTTATAGTAACACTCCATTTAAAACTGAAATTTGTCAGTAAATATAAATGATCAATACCCAGAGGGGAAATGAAGATTGCATAAAGATGCACATTAAAACAGAACATTGTATAAATTTATAGAGTAATATGACAATAAAGGAGTTATCGATTTCTATATTTCTCATTTCCTTGAGTTTATTTACAATCTTTACCCCTAGGGATTTACGAACCTTCTTTTTTTACAATCTGTACCCCTGAGGGTATTTATATTTTGTACAGTTTGTTTGTATTGAGTATTCCAAGGTATCTAGTTTTGATATAAAGTGCTAGATGTGTAGTTATTATTAGAATGTTAAGATTATGTATTTTATGGTCTGTATTACTATAATGGTGATATTAATGTGGAGATAAAGATGTCACAATATAATCAGATCATAAACTAAAATATTAATATGTCTTTTTCATACACTATTTGATGACTTGATATTCTGTTTATATGACATCTAGAAATAGCTATAGGTATAGAATCACTAGATATATAGATATTATATACTATTTCTGTATTTATTAACTCAACATTTCTCAAGCTCATACAGGTAGTGTTGTTAAGAGAAATGAATAATATATCAAGTCTATATAGAAAAATAATGAGTAAGAATTAGATGTAAGGAAGCTATATTGATATCCCTCGCTGGGTAAATTACCTAAGATTTGTCTTTTGATTTTCATAAATGATACATAGGTGACCATATAATCTGTGCTCCTTTGATCTGCTTTGTGGTTTCTTTTCTCATCTTTTCAGTGGCGTTTGTACAGGGAAAGGGGGTATAGAAATGGCACCAGCTTTGCCCAGACCCCTCAGTTTCATATTTCTCATCCGTTAGTTGTTAAATTAAACTTTGATTTTGGTTAATGGTTTTATTATTATATTGTCTCAAATACGATGATGAATTCCAATTTACATCTTTTAAAATATCACAAATACTTATTCTTGTCAAGTTAGTGGCCATGAAATTTATTAACAATTTCAAATATTTTCTTTAATTATGTAACCACAAAGAATACAGGTATATATACTTGCCAATTAGTGACCATACAAAAAACTGAATTTAAGCCTATGATGTAATGGTTATTACTAAAATGTGAGACGCTGTAGACAAAAAATGAATCTGTAGAAAACTATGACTCAACATGTGTAGGTTTATTACAACTCTGATAGATTACACTCTGCACTGAGAATCTGGTGAAGGTATTAGATGGGTACAGAGATAAAAATATGAAGAATAGAGTTAAAAATAGACCAATACTAGGTTACATATTTCTCTTATTACAGCTGGAACTTACAGGGCAATATTTATTACTGAGAGTATTGATGGTCTTTAGAACTTACTGTATTTAATATAGACCTATACTACTAGCTCCACTTCCAGTGATATTTCTGATAATGTTTTAGGCTGGGACTTCCAGCTATTACCAATGGTATTGTAGTTCTAACTTATTGTAATATCAACATGAAAACTGGTGGAAATGCACTATTTGAAATGGGTTTTTTGTGTCTTAACAAAAGCTAAGCCAGTGCATTGTTGAGAATACTCTTCTCATCAGGCACATCAGACATCATGCAATCAATATTGTTCTAATTTTTGTCATATTTTTAGTAGAACATATAGGCTACCTTGAATCTTGACCTAAATGAATTGTTTTTGAGCAATAGAAAGTTGTATTTGAGTGAGACTTTTGTTTTGTTTTGAGCACTATTCCAAATATATTTATGATGTTCTATTATAGAATCAGAACCTTTTTTATTTGGACTCGTTTGAAATTTTTGTGAACTATGGCAAGTGACAGTTGGAAGTTATATATTTTTTAACTTGAGCAATTTTCTAATTAATATTGTAGCCTATTAAGCAACTATTGGTTTAACTTGATTAATTTAACCATTGTATCCCAAGCTTCCATTAGTTGTACTTGATTGGTTGTTTTTGTAGGCTGCAAGTATAATTGTTTCTGCAAGGCAATGTCGATATGACCCCTTTCACTTGAAGACTGGCTTGATTAATTTAAATCTAATTAAGGATTAATTAGTAGCCCCAGCTCCCTAGTGATTGAAAGATGCTAATCAAATCTAGTATGAAATTAGGCCTATAAAAAGTTGGATCTGGGTTTTTGCTGACATAACTTTCTTGACAGCTCTGATCTAAAGTTAAAAATCTTGAGTGAAAAACCATTTTATGAAAAAATAGTTTGAGAGGTAGGCAAGATTTGAAACAAGTTACTATATTAATATAATTATTATATTCTCACTCTTTTGGAGCACTATATGTAACAACTCAGCCTGTCAACTTGACATCCTTTCAGATTGTACTCAAAATGAAATGCAGCCTTGCTTACTATTTGTCTTCCTTGGATTATGGTATTAAAAACTGGCAAATGCCATGCAGTGTACAATAAGGGGGATTTCTTATACTACATAGCAATAAATGTAAATTAAGTTAATATTATACTATAAGGGAAATTGGTTGCAGTGTGCAATGAGGAAAATTTACTAAGATATCTAATTCACACCCTAGATAATAATGAGATTTAGAATTTTTATTTCAAAACCAAGTGTGTTGAAACATTAGTCATGTTCAAGGATGTTTGAATAGCTAAAATTAGAAGCCAAGCCTAGAGAAATGCAATGGATACCTTGTACAGATGTTGAGTTTATGCTGGGAACAGTCAAATTCTATTGAAGAGTTTTAGTCTGAAACTTACTGATTGTGTACATAATCTGTTATAAGTTTTTGACTTAACAACACCACTAGTGTAGGTAGTACTATGGTGTTATATGGTGTATGAGAGAGTATAGAGGGAACGGCTCTCGAATGCACTAACTGAGGCTTGAGAAATTGATAAGCCTGATCCTGCGACACTCAAGGTTTATTCTCTTAGATGTGTTGTTTGTATGCTGTTTGCTCTCTCCACCTTCCTCATTGGCTAAATGTTACACAATGATTTGGACTTTACAGTTATTTCTGACTCATGTAAATTACAGAGTTTGTGTTTATTCTGTGGAAATTCTGACCCAGGCTGGACTTACAGATTCAGTTATTATAACTTCAAGTACTGTTATAGTGTTTATCATAAACTCTCTTTTTGATCAATAAGAAATTCATATTTATCGATTAGTTCATATTAACATTGATTTATTGCTATTCTATAATGAACTTGTGTATTTATCGGATGGTTTTGCCTTTTATTGATTTTTTATATTTTTATCTTTTCAGGTTGATTAATGATAAAATCTTTGTCAAGAATGTACATGAAGTTTGGTTGTGTCTAAAATAACGTTGTGGATAAGTAATGGACTTGCATTCCATTTAGTGTGGACTTTTTCATTCCAAGATACATATCTGTGTACTGGATTTATACTGAACCAAAATTGGCAAGATGGCTGCCACTCAGGAATTGTGCAAGATGTGTACTCGTGTTAAATTATTTAAACCTGTCTTTAGTTTATTTCTAATTATTTCATTGGTTAATCCAGGATTGTCGCTAGGAGACAGTAATTTGTTAAATCTCGTAGATAAAGCAGTGAATTCTGGGAAGAGTAATGATATCGGAATATTATGGGGAATCCCCGACGCCACGGCACACGTAGGACATTTTTTCAACTATTCCATTCCCAAGGATGCATTTAAAGGACAATCTCTTCAATATCAGGTGAGTTATTCCCCCTTTATTTATTTTTTTTCATGACAGAAACCATTTTAACATCTATAGATCTATTAACGCCAATTGTTTGCAACAATCTATCATTTCAAAACGAAGTTATCCATCAAAATACAAGACAGGAAATTTGTCAAATGTATTTTTTTTTTTTAATATTTCAATCCCTCAAATTATAATGTGACATAACTTACTCTGTCTGAAGACACCCATCTTTACAATGTCAAAATATTAGGATCTTTGTCTTATACCTTGACAGCAATAATCACCTTTCTTTTATCACGAAATGCAGCAATTTAATTGGATTGTACGCTGTTAATACAGCCAATCAGTCGTTCATTCTCCCTGTTAGATATTGCAACATTCGAGAATTCTGTAAAAGGAAATCGGATTTCAATGAATTGTCAAGAATTTGAATTAAAAAAGTCTAAAATAATCTAAAAGTAATGGAGTGCACTTAATAGAAGAAAGTCGTTCTATAAAAACGTCAATCAATGTTGAGATCTTTAAACGTAACATGATTGAATTGTTTCAATTGACGTTTCACTAATATAGATAATTAAGACAGGAGGCCATGTTAGATGTATTGTTAAATTGTAACGAATTTTAATACCTCTAGCTCTTTATTTGTTGTAAAGGATCTATGGTGTTTCTATGAATTTTTAGGTCAAGGGCTAAGCAGTGGCTGTAGAATTTAGGGAGTGACTCAAAGACATTTTTTTCTATGTGAAATGATTTAAGAGCTTTGAAAATATAAATCTTAATAGCTGTTCTGTAATAAGGCAGGGCACTCCTCCAAACTTCTACATCTATAATTCTCACACACCCATTCCTCCTGTCAGTGATACAGTTCAGATGAGCCGACATAGTAAAATATTCTAGTCCCATGGGTACTCATACCTTCATACTTTCTGAGCATCATAAAAAATTCTTAATAATCTTTTCTCCTTTTAAAATAATGAGAAATTGTAAAAGATAAGACTACATGAAATCCATCTCTAAACTTTTCTATTATTTATTAGAATTCTGGAATTTGATAAAGTCAGCAGAAATTCGAGCAATGTAACTGAGGAAAAAAATGTTACGTTTTTAATTTCATCTGATGATAATATAGTACATGTTTGGTTTAAAGTTGGGATACCGGCCTTCGACAAATTATTTTGGTATGCTGAGTAAAAAAAACACTTTTCAATTAAGCTATGTACCCAGTGAGAGGTTGACATTTTGTATTTAGGAAGGGTAAGCAGTGGAGCATGCCCTGCATTGGAAATATTGCTGTGCAGCTCAAAACTCACCCCTTGTTTGACTTAGGATTGAGAGCTTAAAGCTCACAAATTAGAAATATAAAAGTGATACGTCAACAGGCAAAATGTTTTAAATAATTTATTCTAATTCTTTCTAGATTTCAAACAAAATTAGGAAAAAAACTAAATTTTTATCTTCAACCTTGAAATATTTCCGGTCTCAAATGAAATTTTGATTCAAAAGACTTTCTGAAAAATTGAAAAGGCTTTCATGTAACCTTCCTTCCAGCGAATGATGTTTTAACATTATCCAGAAACATTGTATCATGTCATTTGACTAGACAAAAAGGTCTGGATAATTGATAATAAACTGACTTGGTTGTCACTTAACATCTATTGGTTATAAAAACTCGTGAATAGTCGTCTAATACAAGAGATCAGTAGGCAAAAAAAGAAAATAGAATTTTACGTTCTGTGATGATTTTCTTGTGGTGGATTTGAAATGAGTTTTGGAAAAAATTAGAATTTTTTTTTTTATCAAATTTTATATATTCTTGATGTCCCATGTGAAAACCAAATAACTAGATGTAATAACCGAATTGTTGAAGACTTTGAAAATTTCTTGTTTACTTTCTGTATCTAATGCTTATTCAACAAAATCCCAAGTGTCTTTCCCATTTCATTTTATAAAACTTTCAAATTTAGAATTATATTTAATTAGGACACCCCATCTTTAAATATCTCTCACAGCATGAAGTACATTAAGTTCCTTTCAGTGTTAAAAGTTAAAATTCTTTAACGTGAAAACTAAAAACATGCAGACGTGAAACACAAACACCAGTCATCATTCTGTGCTCCTTATCTTCAATCTAAATTAGAGAATGCGTAACTCTTCAAGAAAGAAGGTCTGTTAGGTATCAAAGCTGATAAAAAAAAAATTCACGATTTTAGACAGTTGCCTTTTATTTTTTTTTCGAGATTTTCTGAGCTTTTAAACTCTGAGTAATTATAGAGCCCACTGGAATAATTTTTGATTTGAAATTCAAAATTAAATCTAATTTTTGGCAACAAAAATCTCATCTGCTAGGTCACAAAGTAAAGAGTTAAAAATACGGATACATATCTATAGTTTAAGGTGACATTTTTGGGGGTCACAAAGTAAACTTTTCTACACATTATAACCACTGAGAACTGTAAAGTAAAGCTAGGTCTGAAGTCTTTAAGCTAGCTTTCATTTGGTCCCCGATAAATTGCCAATCACAAAAACAGAGGTTTTCAATTCCAGATGAGTGATGGTTCGGCAATTTGCCCAATGCAAACACACGTTTCAATGAATCTTTAGATGGATAGGTCCAGTAGAGGCCAGAGAATTGTCAGTGGGGGTTCACTGCACTGGATATTTAATAACTCAAATATTGTTATTGAAATTGGGGAGCCAAATAAGTCAAATCTCAGTTTACTGACTATATGATTCTATATGAGTTCCACCAATACTACTTCAGAATCAGAGTCCTGCCTCACCCATTATCACTCTCAAGCAAAAATAAATTGTTTTTATTTATCTTTCTGTGTGGACCTTGTTAGTTGACACCCCTGTCTTGACTGTCTGTCTGTCTATTTTCATAATATGAGTGAAATTTCTGATGATGTTTTTCTACCAATTCTAATTAGATTTTACAGTCAAATCCCATGTCTGTCTGTCTGTCCATTCAAATTCTTTTTCTGAATATGTAGTAATGTTGTTTTTTTGACCAATTCTAAGTGTTTTGTTATTTTTCTAATTGCAGGTAACAGAAGCTGGTAAAAACATCTTGCCGTCATGGTTGAGTTTTGACCCCAAAAAAGAAGTTTTACAAGGAATACCCCTACCAACTGATGTAAAACAACACTATATTGAAGTCATTGCCACGGATAAAAACAACCAGAATGCCCAAGCTAAAGATATCTTCACCATTGACGTGGTTACAGAAAGAAACAGCCAACCAGCTACAACACTGACCTTCGTTAAGGGAGGACCAAAAATGGTACGATGCAAACGCGAGCAACCTGAAACAAAAGTTACCATAATTTTGGATACCGATTTAGAAAAATTAACCAGCAATGGACGATTGGATTTACTGAATCGATTTTCATACTTGAATCTGATTCCTGAAATGTTGAAAATGATTCCAGTTAACGGCAACCCGATCACCGATGACACAGCCTTGGTGTCCGGGCCTGGAAACGTCAAGGAACCCAAAGAATCTGGTGTGTTTGTCTCATGGAGAGTAGGTTGTGGAACTGTCGATCCTGGACATTTACCGATTCTTCAACAAGTTGAAGCTGAGGCTCAAAATGGACAGTTAGCAGAAGCTTTGAAAAATGCGATCCTCAGTTGGCACGTGACCAACAGTCGTTTCCAAGAGCATAAACGTCATCGTCGAGCTATCCGCGCCACTCCATTAGCGACACCTGGTGTTCAACCAACCATTCCCCAGGAACCTCCAACTATGACTAAACCAGGTGATGAAATGACCCGTCCAGTCATCGGTGAAGCCTCACCAACGTTCAGCATCCAACCCACCCAATCCATGACCACCATGAAAACTGACGAACCGGGAAAACCTACCCCAACCATGCCCATGAAACCTAAACCAACTGGTGGCATCCAACCATCTCAAACTACTCCAGAAACAACAGACCAAGACAAAACTATGCCGTTACCCAAAGAAACCATTTTCCCAACCAAGACAGACACCGATTCCAAACCTACTGATTCCAAACCAGGATGTATCCCCAATCTTCCACCAAACGTCGAGAATCCGATTGGTCGAATTGAATTCATGTCTGGTGAATTTCATAAATATAAAATTCCAAAGGATACTTTCAGTGATTGTGAAGTCGGTAATACCAGAAATTTGGAATTGGAACTCTACGCCAACTCCACAGATCCTATTCCTAAATCCTATTGGATGAAATTGGATCATAAACGACAGCAATTGGTCGCTTTTCCAACACCAGGTGATTCCGGAGTTCACAAGTTCACACTCGTTGCTAAGAAAGGCATGAAGGGATTGATCGGAACGCATTCATTCAAGGTCAAGGTTAAAGGTGGCAGTCCGAAACATTTGGCGAACATCAACCACGAAGTTTCCATCACTTTGGACGTTGATTACGATAAATTTATGTCAAATATTACCAATCGCCTTCATCTTGTTAACCGACTCGCCAAAGCTTTCGGGGATCGTAACCATAACTCTATCCAGTTAACAGGAATTGAAAGAGGATCTGTCATCATAAAATTCACCAACACTTCTCTGTCAGGTTCCGACTGCCCTGTTCAAGATCTGAAAGATATGTTCAGTAAGTTCATGAACGACGACGGCACAATTAAACCAGAAGCAGAGAAGGCCCTGAAACCTTATAAAATACAGCAAGCTGGTACCATCCCTAAAGGAGGCTGTCTGAACAACCCTGATTTCCCTGAATTATTATCACCATACGTCAATCCAGAGCCAAAACCAGAACCAGACGATCAAACAACAACGCCCATGACCCCTGAACCCGAAACAACAACTGAGAAAGTTGCCACAGGATCAGCAAAGACGGGAGATGATATTTGGATCACTACTGTCGTTCCAGCTGTGGTCATCGTCGCCATATTGCTTATTGCTCTTCTGGTCGCCTGTATCTTGTACCGTAAAAAACGAAAGGGTAAAATGTCTCTTGAAGATAAGAATACCTTCGTTAATAAAGGAGTACCAGTCATTTTACCTGATGAGCTAGACGAAAACGAAAAACAGCAAGAATCTTCAAAACCTTTGATAATGGCTGACGAAAAACCTCCAATTACCTCCCCTGAATATCGTGCCGGATCGAGTGAAGCTTCAACACCCCCTGCCAATCATCGTAACATGATGGCTGATGATCCATATATCGAAGATGTACATTCTCCATTGTATCAGCCTCCTCCTCCAGTTCAATCAGCCGGTGGTAACAGACAACCGCGACCTCACATGCAATCATACAACAAACCAACCGCCTACGTGCCCCCATAATCCCCCTCACTTCCTGTTTCCACCTCTCTTGCTATTCGCAATAATTAGTGCATTACCTTCTCTTTGTATGGACATTTCATAAAAACTATGCAAAATCTCGGCTTCTGTTCTGTTAAATCATTTTGAAAACATCATAGTGTCTATATGAACACTTGTTTACTACTGCATTTCTCTCTCCCATATATGGTCATCATGTGACTTTCTGTGTTTTTATATTACCATATATGGAAATCATGTGACTCTCTGCATTTTTATAGCCATATATTGAAATCGTATGACATTCTGCTGCATTGCTATGTGGCCATTTTCCTGGAAGTAAGATTTCCAGTTGCTACATGGCCATATTGGATGATCATGTGACTTTGCAGTAGATATTTTGCCATGTGAATTTAAAATGAGATATCGTGAGATCTTAGAATGAAGTATGTAAAGTGAAATGTGGTTGGATAATTGAAATTGTAGTGAAATAGAAGACATAATCTGATTGGATATCTCAGGTCATTTGCATAATACTCAGCCAACCGGAGTGTTTGTTACTAAAGGTATATCATCATATGGATATTATATTCAATATTTATGGCGTTATAATTTTATTTACGGTGTTTTTTTAATCCATGATCGTAAAAAGAATTTGCGGAAATGAGAGCGAGCTGCTGAAACAGTGTTGGCTGACTTAAGTTTGTACTTTGATGACGAAGTTTCGGTCGTTCATTTCAAACTATCGCAGTCAGTTTTGTGGTTGGATTATCGGTTCCTTATTAAAGGGAGATAACTACGATCCATATCAAGTATAATAATGATATTATTTACATTTTTCCATGCTTTTGTTCCGTGTATCTGTCATTCTGTTGCATGCCTAAATTATTCAATGCCCTTTTGTAAACTCGTTTTTCATTGGTCAAATTTTTGATGATGTTATTTATATTAGGAGTGTTTTGATTGGATGAAAGCAATAAGGATGGCTGAATATGATTGGGTAAATTATGTTAAGAAGGATATTTGTTTGCCTCATTATATATGCGCATAATTATCAACTCATTACCTACTATATTTGCATATTTGAAATCATTATTTAATCTTTTTGAGATATTATTTTGACTGAATTAGAATTTCTGTTCTGAATTGATTTTTGAGATTTTGTTGTTTGTAAAATTAGAAGAGTAACACGATACTCTGATTGTTTGGTTTAAGTTTAAAAAAAGAAAAATAAGAATGCAGAAAATAATTTCCAAGCGAAAGGAGGCATTTTTCAATTTCAGTGACACAGATTTTCTGTCATAACATTTTTGAAAATTGAATCTGTTATTGTTAAAAAAATTAGTAATCGTATGAAATTAATTCTTTATAAATGTAACTATATTTTTACCTACAATTGGGTGAATTGTGCAAAATGAAGAAAGTGCTTTAATTGTGGTTTTTGTAAAATGTTCGTAGATGGTAGAGCTCCTTCAAATCATAGTTGATGATGTAAATATTTAAATAAGAACAGTCAACTCTTCTGATTGGCTGTTTTATGTCACATGATTGATAATTGTAAATACTATCGGCAAGGTTAACGATATATTATTTATGTTTGATTAGCAACTTATTTTAAAAAGTTTCGGTTTTCACTTTTTTCTTAAAAGATCACAATATAAAGATTACAGTGGGTATAATCATCATTGATGAAGAAGGACCTGAAAGAAATTTAGCAAACTTGTGAAACAGACACAACTTTTAAAGATTTTTCAATCTTATTTTCTAAACTAGAACTATAAAATTTTTACATCCAACCAACACTGAAGCTCGTAGGTTGAAATTTCCAGGATTCTGCCATTAAATGGTTTGAATTTTGAATATTAATTTGTCAAATAAAAACACCTCTAGAAATACAGGATACAGTTCCCTGTATTATAATTATATTCAGTTATCAGTTGCTAATTAGACATAATGATATAATTGTTAACGAGCGCCTCTATATTATGTGATTATTATTATTATTATTAACTATTGTATGCTATCCTGTATAAATATAGTTATATAGAAAACCTCTAGCAACATTCGTTATTTATATTATATTGATACAGTCTTGGTTAGGGGTAGATAGATCTGTCTGCCTCAATAGTCATCTTCACAATGTCAAGCTATAACAAACTTTGTTTTATACCTTGACTGCAATAGTCATCTTTCTTGTATCACATCTTTACAATGCCAAGTTATTACGAACTTTGTTTTATACCTTGACTGCAATAACCACCTTTCTTATATCACATCTTCACAATGTCAAGCTATTACAAACATTGTCTGGAATCTTGTCTGCATTAGTCATCTGTTTTGTATCACAGAAGTTTGTAAATGCAGCAATTAGATTGGATTGTTTAATAGCAAATATAGCCAATCAGAGCCCTTGACAGGAGGATTGTGAACAATACAACTGCTCTGATTTGATTGGTCCTATTTCGTAGCATACAATCCAATCAAATTGCTGCTGTTACAAACTTCATAATACAAGAAAGGTGGATATTGCAGTCAAGGTATTAACAAATTTTTAACTGATAATTTAAGGAGAGAAATAGCAGCTGTTAGTGTTTAGTATTTTCACTTTTTGCCACAAAGGCACTGGTTGGGGATTTAAATTGATTGGTCTGAATATCTTGAAACTACCAAGACCATTTTTGCTGGGAATTAGTGCACAAATTTCAACTGTTCTGAGTAATTCCCTAGAAGTTTCCCAAGAAAGAAGGCAGGAAGTCCCAAGATGGCTACCTTCATTGATTTTATCTTAAGATTGTAAAAAAAATCTTTTTTAATTTTCCGAGTTTAAATACAATTTACATCAAGATAGAATAGAGTTTAACAGTGTGAATATTACCCTATGGAATTCCCCGAGGCATTTTCTCTTAAAATAATCTTCAGTATTAGGTAAAATCTCTCCTAAAGTGTGATTTTCCTCATATAATTTCATTTTTAATTCAATTTTTTATAAGTTCTTCATTCTATCGTGAGAATCAACCCAATATGTATTAAAAATCAAACTTATTAGAGGTGGAATGGAGTTATACTTACAGAAATGGAAAACCTTTCATAAAAATGTATCATGGAATTTCTTTAAAAATGTAGCCACAGAGATAAAAAATCATTAGACATAAAAATACATCACATGAAATAACACAAGTGCTAAGCTTTTGAAAACATGGCCTGGAATACTCTAATACTCTTGATGTATGAAACTGGCTTGTAATGGTGTAAGGGAGATAACTCAAATTAAGATAATGCCAAGACTCCCTCTAACTTTTCAGTGAATTAAATGAAATGAGATGGAGTGTTACTTTTTTTTTCGCTTCTTTTTGGACTTATGCAGACAAACACTAAGCGGTGTGGAATGAGGAGAAATGCTTTGACTCTAGAAAACACAGGCTATATTAGCAAAAAAATACTTTCAGCTCTTGAAATGAAGTTGAAACATCCTCCTTTTCTTCTCCTAATTTGGCTTTTCATCATGAAGTTTGCAATGTGGGATATTCCTCAAGATACAAAAACCAAAGGGGGTTTAACTTTCTGCTTTTCTGCTCTATTTTGGGAATACAAACACCATTAAGTGTACAAGGAGAGAAATGCTCCAAGCACTGGTCTTGGTGTTTGCTCCTTGATTTTCAATCAGCATAAATGAAGCTGAAACAATCCCCTTTCTGCTTTAAAGAATATAGAATGAGTCTTGGTAATATTATGAGTTAAGCTGATATATTTTAGATGTAAAAACTTAATTATTGAGTAATAATAAATTATGATTTATATTGTGTTTTTATTGTATAGTTGATAAAATATATTCATGGAAATTCTGGAACAATTCAAAACAAACAGTTCACTTATTTATAGGTAGTTTAAGAAATAGTTAACACAATATTATTCTGGTCAGATATTCTCAAAACGATCTTAGCGCTAGGATATCCAGGGGTTTTAAATTATAACACTGATTTGAGGATATCCTAGCACTAAGGTTGTTTCTAGAAGACGCGTCTAGACTAGTATATTAAAATAACTGTTTATTCTACCAGAAAATGGATTAAGTTTTATATTTGAAATCGAACTTGTATGTACATTACTATTTTTTATTTTGCATTAATTGTATATACGCCCTCCCTGTTTGTATTATAAATAACAATAATGGTTGCTTTTAATTTATCTTCTGCAGTTTTGAATGTAATTTGTTATGATCTATGTTTACATCTTGTTTGAAAGCTTTTAAATTACAACACTGAGGGGTAATTAGCAAATTTGTTCCAATCTGACATCAGTTACCCAAATGGATGATCATGTGACCTCAATTAAAAGTCATGTGACCTCAATTAAAAGTCATGTGACCTAGATAAGAAATCATATGAAAACCCCAATCTGTTACCATGTGACCCCATATGTTACCACGTGACATCCCAACTAAAGTCATGTGACCCAATCTGTTACCATGTGACATCCCAACTGAAGTCATGCAACCCAATCTGTTACCATGTGACATCCCAACTGAAGTCATGTAACCCAATCTGTTACCATGTGACATCCCAACTGAAGTCATGTAACCCAATCTGTTACCATGTGACATCCCAACTGAAGTCATGTAACCCAATCTGTTACCATGTGACATCCCAACTGAAGTCATTTAATCCAATCTGTTACCATGTGACATCCCAACTGAAGTCATGTAACCCAACTGTTACCATGTGACATCCCAACTGAAGTCATGTAACCCAATCTGTTACCATGTGACATCCCAACTGAAGTCATGTAACCCAATCTGTTACCATGTGACATCCCAACTGAAGTCATGTAACCCAATCTGTTACCACGTGACATCCCAACTGAAGTCATGTAACCCAATCTGTTACCATGTGACATCCCAACTGAAGTCATGTAACCCAATCTGTTACCACGTGACATCCCAACTGAAGTCATGTAACCCAAACTGTTACCATGTGACATCCCAACTGAAGTCATGTAACCCAATCTGTTACCACGTGACATCCCAACTGAAGTCATGTAACCCAATCTGTTACCATGTGAC